GGATGGTCAGATGAGGAAGGTCTCCCACCTAACTCTGCCAGAGCCTCCCTCCTGGCCATGGATTGGGCGGGTGATGCTTTGTGCCTCAGTTTCCCCACAGCAGAGCAGTCACCAGAGTGTGCCTTTATCCTTTTTTTTCAGCCAGGCTCATGGATGTCTTTTCTTAAAACTGCTGTCAAAGTCCTAAGTGAAGGACTTTCTCCAGCTGTAGTGAAGTTATGGATGGAGGCTGTAATGCAGGGGGCAGTCTTTGGGTTGCGTTGGTGTCAGGCTGCTCTCTGTTCTGAACATCTCAGAAACCAAAATATTCATCTGTGGCTGGAGCTGCTCCATGCACACCTCTGCAGCAGCCAGCACCTGCCCGTGTTATCATTGCCCAGGTTATCTTATGGGCACATGCAATGACACAGAGTGGGATGGAGTCACTGCAGCTAGCTGTTATGAGAATAAAAATAAACAGGAGTGTTGTGCACGCCTGGGACCTGAGCTGCAAGTGACTAGCTCATTAACTTTAAATATATCACCTAGCTGCACTCTGGAGGTCAAATGCAAGAAAAAAAAGTGTGAATACTTATCAGTCTACACTCAGCACATCCTCATCTCCATTCAAATGCATGCATCACTCTGGTGCCATGGCAGGATACTTTGCAGGAAGAAGAAGAACCCAGCTATCCTGAGCCTGGCTGGGGTGATGATTTCTTTAGGAAGCACTCAGGTGCAAGGTCTTTAAAGCAGGAGGCTCTGAAAGCGGTGCAAGTCTTTCTGCCCTTGTGTAGGGCAGTGCAGTCCATGCACATTTTTTTCCTCTCTCTTTTTCTTTCACCTCTCGTGCTGCCTTTCTCCCAGCCCGATAAATATTTTATTGCTCCCTCCAAGGGAGCCACTCCAGCCAGGGACCTTCAGACAGAGCAGTGGATGAAGGCAGAGGGTCGGGGCTCTCCCGTGGGATGCAGGGCACAGGGGTTCATGCTGCTGCTCTGCTCAGCATTTAATTACACCTTCAAGTCAGCAGAGTTCTGGCAGGGCCGTTTGCAGGCGACCAGTGAAGCTCAGCGAATGGTGGTGACTTGAGTTCTCCTTGGCCTGGAGATCTGACAGCACCACGCCAATACAAATGGGTTGGAGTTGAAGGCGCAGAGCCCATTTTTCAGAGATTCAGGCACCCCTTCCTTGGGGTACTGAGTCCAAAGCACCTTCCCTTGGACCATGGCTGGGAGAGAGCTGAATTTCCCAGTTCTATGCTGCTCTCAGCTGCTGCTCCAGGGTTGTCCTTGGTGGGCGCTGGACCTCAAGGTTCCCCCTTGGTGTCAGGACGTTTCCATTGAACTTACCCCAGGGCCTTTCTGCATACAGTGAGCCAACATTTAGCACTGCAGCTTTGGTGCAGCTGCTGAGCAGGTAGCAGGTCTGGGTCAGCATGCTGTTTGTGCATGGTCATGGGTGGTCAGAGGGGTTCTGGAGGACCCAAAGACATTTCTGGGTACCTTCAGGCATCTCATGGAGTAAGTAGAATGATGGGAGTGCATCTAGTTGCTACGCTTTTCCATTATCACATCTGCCTGTTATTTTTTTTTTGCTGGAATGGTGACGTTGCTACACAGCGAGCCAACCTTTGTGGGTATCTGGAAGCACTTAGTGCCCAGCCGATGCAAATGGGCTGGTAATGATAAGCAGATCTAATTCATCTCTGACGGTGTGACCAGCAATGTTCTGAGTCATATTTTTAGTCATGCAAGGTTCAGGCACATGATTGCTAACCCCCTTCTTGCACGGTAGCACTAATGCCAGGATTAAGTGGAAGCATGAGGCAGAAAGAGGAATATTAGGGCATAGCTGTATGTAAATAAGGAAATGGTTTAGGTGGTTTAAAAAGCAAGGTGAAGCTGAGCTCTGGTGTTGTGCCAAGGTCACCCATGTAGTGACCATCAGGAGGGAGGTAGCTTGGGGACCTGCACAGAGGGATCAGGACTGCAGCATTGAAACACTGGCAGCATTTGAGGCTTGCTGGCTGAACCATGGGAAGGAACCAGGGGATATGACAACATCTCTGGCTTGGCATCTTCCTCCTTTCCTTGCAGCCCTTGAAACCAACCCAAAGTTCATTTCAGAATAAGCTGTATATCGCTCAGTCTGAATATAAACCACATCTGTAGGCATGGGAAAGCCAAACGCAGGGATGTGTGCAGGGTTTGATTTGCCTCCAGTGCAGATCCTTGAACAGATGCTCAGTGTGTGCATCACACATCAGCTTGTAGTGCACTGTGTGACTGCGACTTAGAGGGAGAGGAGAGCATCCATTGAGTGTACACCATGGCAAATCTCGGGTTGTATGTACCCAGGAAGTGATGAGCATCCTGAATGCCTACAGCTCCTATAGGACTTTGGGTATAGGGTATTATGTGGTTATGGAGAGCAACCCATGCCTTCTCAGCTTTCAGCCATGCAGATTTGGAGCTTATATGCTGTTTTTTTACAAGGTTTTCTTCTGGCTGTTGAATATTGTGAAAGGAATTTTCATCCAAAATTGTGAGTTCTCTTTCTTGGTATTCTGGTGCTGAGGTCTCTTGAGATGCTGGTGGTGGGAAGGTTTGCTTTCTGCAGCTTAAAATTAACACTGAGGGGATATCTCTACCAGGGAGAATGTTATGGGGTCTTGCTTCCTTGCTAGTTAGCAATTTTAATTGAAAAAGCAGTCAATAAGGGAATAATGCATTTGCAATGGCATCTTTCTTCTGAGGTTATGGGAAGTGCTATAATTAAGCTGATAATTAAACCCCATGAAGTTAGTTACGATCCCTGGCAAAGGCACATGGAAGTCATGAACAAGGGCTTGCCCAGAGCCTTGTTCTGGGCCAGCTGCAGAGCCCAGGACCTGGCACCTGCTTCCTCTGAGTCACGTGTAGAACTGAGTCCTCCCTCTCCTCTGTGCATGAAGCAGCATTGTAAAAAACTCCAACTGAATCACTCAGTATTTCAGGGTCAGGTGTGGACAGACCTAATATATGCACGGGCAGGTAATGGGATCTCTTCAAAATGCAAATTGTTTTCTTGCTAATCTGGCTAATTTCTTCGACCCAATTTGCATCGTAGTGTACATTTTTCTTACTGCCTTTGCCTTGAAGTGATGCGCTGCAATGCAAATTGCCCCAAACCCACTGTCACCTTGCATTACCTCCCCCAAAACGATCCACCGTGCTGTGACTGATGCAATCCGACTTGATGTCATAAAATGATGTCTCCCATGGGGAAGCAGAAGGAGCGCAGCTTCTCAGAGCCCATAAATGTTTTAAAGAATGGCTTTCCTTGTGATGGGGTCCCAACCCCTTTCCTTTTCTGCTTAATAACCTGCCCCAGAAATGAGCTCTATCGTGCAATGCTCAGCCCTGCAGAGCTCTGAGCAACTCCAGCAGTTGGATGGGGTCTTCTTGAGTGTTAGAAGATCAAAGCTATTCTGAATCCCCGCTGGGTTGTTTTTTTTCATAGCCCCTGTTGCTGGATTTTCACTCTCGTCTCCACAAAATTACGGACAGAGCCTTTCAGTGAGTAGATATCCCTGTTCTGGCAAAGGAGTGCTTTGACTCTGCTTATTTTCACATTGTGTTTCTGCGAAGATAAGGGACGCGGAGAGATTTCAATCAGCGGTGCGTCTGCTCAGATCAAGCATATGAAATATAATAAAGGGGACAGATAGCGAGCAGCATGCGGTGCACGCGGTGAAGCTGTCACACGGGGCTGCTGCAGGTGCTGCAGTCAATAGTGACATTTTAATAGTAGCCCTCGCATTGATCTGCTTTGGTTTGATGGTTTTGGACACATTTCACACCTGGTAATTTGGAGCGGTAACTACATGGAGAGGTGGATCCAGTCAGTTCCAGGTGAATTTAAGTTAAAAAAAAACAAACAGCTCTGAGTCCGATGGTTGGTGGTTCTACTTGCAGTCTTGAAGGTGAGCAAATAAATCTGCCCATATCTTTATCCACCCATATCTATTTCACTGGAACAGGTTGCCCAAGGAGGCTGTGGATGCCCCATCCCTGCAGGCATTCAAGGCCAGGCTGGATGTGGCTCTGGGCAGCCTGGTCTGCTGGTTGGTGACCCTGCACATAGCAGGGGGTTGAAAGTAGATGAGCATTGTGGTCCTTTTCAACCCAGGCCATTCTATGATTCTATGCTCAACTGGTCTAATAGTACATGGAAGGATACGTCTAGGGAGAGATGGAGAAAAAAGAGGTATGTGGGCACTGAACTACCATATTAGATTCAACAGGCACGAATTTCCCTTTTTTTTTTTTTTTTTGCCATTTTCATTAAACACCACAGAAGTTCTACAAGAGAAAAGCTATATTTGATATAACGCTTGGCTATACTTCAGACAGCCACATGCCTCATTTACAAAACATACAATGTTCTGCTGGGGCTCGGGACTGCATAGGCTCAGTTCATTAATGGCAGGAGCAGTCTCCCCTCCCTGCTAATGGCACTGAAGCTGTGTCTCCTCTTCCTGCTCTGCATGCTGAGCACACGGGGCTTTTAAGAGACGGATGCTGATGGAAAGCTGAAATGAAATGCCTGGTGGATTCGTAATAGTCTGGCTCTTCCCTCTGCGTGCACTCCCTTCCTCTGGAGGATGGGGTTGGCCTCGTAAAAGCTTTACAGAGACCTGGCTCTTTAGCAGCTTTTTAGAGGAAGAGCTCTGGTAGCGCTAATGGCAGAAATGGTAGGGTTTAGAGATGTGACTTGCTTGTAAACTCACCAGGGCTGGAGAACGGTCTGTTCATCTCTATTTGTGCATCACCTGCTCCTGTTTTCAGGTGTGGGTGTGCTGCAGTGTGGACCATTTGCTGGGATAAGAGCAAATTTGGGTCTGCATACACCATAAAATGGATGTAGCCATCATATGCATTTGGGTTCACGATGTGCTGCAGATCCAGGGCAGCCTGTTGGACATTGGTACTAAGTGGTACTTGGGTGAAAATACTGATCATTTTCTTTCATTCCAGGGGATGGCCAGGTTGATTTTGATGAATTTATGACTATTCTGGGTCCTAAGCTGGTATCGTCGGAAGGCAGAGATGGCTTTCTGGGAAACACAATAGACAGCATATTCTGGCAGGTAAGTGGTGACTTTTTACAGTGCAACTTTATCCCACTATCAGTAGCTTGCAGAAGTGATTTGTTGGGGAGCATGGGAAGTTTTCCTAAAGTGAATGCTCATGTAAATGTTACTTGGGTCCCCCTCACTGCGTGCTGTACATCACCATCCTCTGTTGCATCCAGTTTGAGGTGAATTCAGGTCCAAGATTGAAGATTCAGGTCCAGGGCTGATGAGTCTGTTTTGTGCCAGTGCAAGGTTTACATGTGCTGCTGGGTTGGTTTGATGGTTTCAGGTGTCAGAAGAGAGGTGGGTTTGGCTGCAGGAGCTGTTGTGCATTGTGATTTTAAGCAGAATTAGAACTTTCTGGAAAAGCAAGGGCAGCTCAGGCTGTTACAGGGAGTGTTGAAAGTCTCCCAAGCCGTAATGCTGTGTGTTTCTTGCCAGTAGATTGAATGTGTGGTTTCCTCTGAGATTGCTGCTCATTTCATTGGTCACCCAACAACCTTTGCTTGCTAATAAACTTGGACTGCTACCAAGTTATGTGAGTCAGAAGAGTCAAACCTGGATTTGAGCATCCCTGCCGTCTGTTGCTGCCCTCTGGCACTGTCCAGGCTGGATGGGTGGAGTTTTGTAAAAGTCTTTTAAACTCCTTTAGAACTTATTCCTGGTCTCGTGGCGTGTGATATAAATAACCCTGCAAATTCGGGCCTGGATTCCAGTATTTGGTCGTCAAAGCAAGACTTTGGTGTTGGTGAAGCTGCAGAGGTTTGTGATGTATGTGCGGGGATGTGAGGACTATGCTCACACTACAGTGGTTGTACTACATGGTTGTTTTATTGCCTCTGTTACATCTGGTGAGCCTCATCCCACTGTGTGAACAACGGGGAGAGAAGGAAGCATCAACCCATCCCACCAAACCAAGACCCCATAGTGAGCTTGGCCTCCCCAGAGCTGCCAGTAAGCACAGACACCCCTCGGGGAAGTTGTTCTCATGAGTGAGGTGTTTGATGGGGAAGCAGAGAGGTCAGGAGCTCTGCTCATGGTTTCTGGGATAACCGTGCCATTCCACAGTCTCTCAGCCCATGGAAATGTTTGTGTTGGCTTTGCATAGAGCTCCATGAAGAGTGGGTACCCCAGACATCCAGCCCCACAGTGTGGGAACTGCTCTGGGCATTGCCTGCAGCACCGAAGCTTTAATTACAGGAGTGTCCCAAGACTTCCAGAAAGGTGTTTATGGTCTTTTATGTGTAAGGGAAAAAATACGCACATCTCTTTCCATAACACACTCCTGGGTTTTGGAATCCTTGAAGGGGAGCCTTTGTCTCACATTTTGCTTCTCTTGGGATAGGAGGACACATGGAGAATACAGTATTTTTTTCTGCTTATTCCCCTTCCCCCCCAAAAAAAAACAATGAAAAAGGCATGTAGGGAATAACATTCAAGGAACAAATTCCCTTTAACCCTTCCTGCCTGGCTTTACCCATGCCATCTGCTGGGTTCTCACCTTGTCTATAAGCAAAGCATTGACACATCTGCATCACCTCCAGTGGGCTTACATCTGATCTGAGGCCTTTCCAGAGCTAAGGCCTGACTGTTTGCCCTATGTCACCTCCATGTGTGTTTTTCACATTTGCTGGGAAAGGAACAGCTTGGAAAAGGGTTGACTTCACATTGATGTCAGAGCATTTCAACCCTGCAGTCAGCTCTGAAGAGGAGGTTTTGAGGAGGGGACCTGAGTGACAGTGGCATCAAGAAGAGACAACCTCACCTTGGGGACAGGTGTTGCACCCTAAAACCTCACCCTAGAGCCATAGGCAGCAAAATGCATCCAGAAGAGGCTCATATAGCAATCTTGGGAGGATAAAGTCTACATTGGCATCCTCCCTCCGAGCAGCTCTGCTCCAGCTGTCACAATTTTGCCTCTTGGGGTTTCCTGTGCAGTGACACTTTTGTGCAGACTCTATTCCAAACGTGCCTTAATGACACTTTAAGCCATGCAATGACAGAGTTAAATAGCAACCAGCAGCAGGAGAGAGGGAAGGGTTGGAGGGCCTGGTGGTGTGAGGTGGAGGGACACAGGAAGGCAGATGGCAGAGGCTGCAGTGGGGACAGATCTCAAAACAACAGCAGCAGGGCTGCAAGAGACAGGGAGCGGGTAGAAGTGGTGGAAGAATGGGAAGGAGGAGGAGAACGTGCATGGAAGAGGCTTGAAATAATAAAGGAGCAGTGCGTCCATCCTAGTGCAAGTGTTGCCCAAAGAGCGATGGTCAGCCAAAGAGAAACAGGATTGGGCTGAGACCTGTGTTAGAGACATGGAGGGTCTCTCGGATGTATTCTCCCTCTGTGATTTCCCATGGGGACTCTAAATTGAGTCCTGTCAGTCTGTTAGAGATGGATAATTCCTGCTTTCTCAGGTAGAGCGATCAGTTCTGCTCCAGTTAGAATGGCTCTCTGGGTCCCTCAGCCTGGCTGGCAGCTGTTTACAGGGAGGGAGGGAGGGGGTAATCATCCCTCCAAACACTGTTTCAGGCTAAGTCAATATAGACCCATGATATCAGGAGAGCTGAGGAAACATTGACTTTCTCTTATCGCACAAAGTCTGTCTTTCCTGCGTGAGATGCAGCATGCACAAAGCACCATTCTGCATAGAGCATCCCCAGGTGCTCTGTTTCAAAATGGTTTTCTTATCCTCATGCTGACTGTGAAGAGAACTAAGATGTACCCATACACTGACATCGTTAGCTGCCATTGGAAGCACCTTTTCTTAAAAGGGCAGAGAAAGACCTGGGCTCCTGCTGAGCACCAAGGTGTCTGTGAGGCAGCAATGTGCCCTTGGACGGAGAAGGCTGATGGTATATTGGGCACACCTTGCAGAGTGTCTATCCCCTTCCCTCTCTATCTTTTTCCCTTTGTATTGGTCAAGCATCCCTCGCCTTGCCGCCCTCTCTGAGCTGCTCCTGCTGGACTTCACACTTGGTGCCTCGAAGCTGCTTGCTGTTGATGCATAGGCAGTGATGTGCAGTGATGTGGTTGCTGCTGCGTGCTCACAGAGACACTACTTGATTAATTTTGGGGCATGAGAATTTGTTTTCCCGGAGCTCTGGGAGTATATGAGAGCAGTTCCAGCTGGGTGCTCCGAGGGCTGTGTTTTGTACAGATGGGTTTCCAGTGCATGGCCATTCTGGTCTGCAAAGCACTTTAGATCAAGAGCGTTACAGAAAGTGCAAACATTGCTGCTGGTAAATATTAGCTCCTTTTTGGGCAAACAAAATCCAAATCTGTCCACCGTGTCCTGCCATTCTCAGAAAGCGAGAGGGATAAAAAGAGCAGGAAGTGAGCATTCATATTCATTTACAGTTTTTGCCTAGATTTTTTTGTAAGTGCTAAAACCTGCCAAATGTCTTTGAGGTCCTTGGCCAGATTAGATATTAGGAGAAATGTTTTCTCAGGAGTGGTGCTGCGGTGGCACAGCTGCCCAGGGAGTGGTGGGGTCACCATCCCTGCAGGTGTTCCAGTACCATGGAGATGTGGCACTCAGGGGCATGGTTGTGCCATGGTGGGATGTGTTGGGGTTGGACTTGGTGGTCATTGAGATCTTTTCCAACCTTCATGATCCTATGATTCCATGACCTCCAGGAGCAGGTGTGAAATAGTTTGCACATAGTGTAGTGAATGTACAGTCTTGGGGGGTAAGCAACAGAAACAAGAGTAATAATAATCTTGAATTTTAGACTTTTAATTAAAATAAAGTTCTCTGACTTGGCTATAATGCACTTTGAAGGCAGAACAAGTCTGAATGGTTAAAGAACAGGGCTCCTTTTGCACTGGCTGCAGAACAAACTCTGTCCCCAGCAGCGCTGATGAGGTTGTTTTAGAAAGTCAATACTTTGCACGGGGATCATTTAAGAAGCAAACTGCTGCCTGCGATTTGTTTCTGTCTCCCTATGCTGCGTGCACGTGGAAGCTACAGGGAACATTATTTCAGCTGGCGCTGACACAACACCCCAGCAAGGATATCCAGAAGCTTTGTCTTGTGCTCGGGGCCGGCACTGCATCATCCGCTCGTCGCCTTTGATATCGCCCCGTATAATTTACTGGCTCTCAGAAGGAGGCTGCTTGCTTTGGGATAAATAAGTCTGCTTTTCAGGAGCAGGATGACCAGAATACCAACATGATGGTTCTGGCGGGGAGATACTGCTTGGAGATCTCTTTGATTTTCCACTGTAGCACTGTCTTGCAGTTTTAGGGGGCTGGAGGAGGTGGGGGAAGGGATAGGTCTGTATGATTTCTGGGCTTGGGAAAACCTTTCCTCCAGTTTTCCATGAACTTTGGTGGGTGAGTGGAGCCCGCCAAAGCTAGACCCTTCCCCCCCCCCCATACAAGGAATGAGGACTAGCCAGGAATAGCCCAGAGATAGCACAGCACTCGCTCCGTCTTGAGCATTTTATTCCCTGAATGCAGCAAAAATAAAACAAGAACCACATGCAGCAGTGCAGGATTGCATCCAGCATTGGCTAGGGAGGGAGTGCAGGGAGCTGGCTGCAAACATGGCAGAGCAGGGGGACGTGCTGGGATGGGACAAAGAGGTCTCGTCCTCCCAGCACGGCTGCTGATGCTTAATGACTTGCTGGGAATTGCCCATCCGTAATCTGTTTTCAGTTGTCACTGCAAATGCAACAGCATCCCAGGGGAGAGATCTGGGCTCTCATGATCTGGTCAATCAATTAGTGCTTTAATAGAGTGAAATGAAGGAGAAAATGTGTGGGAACCTCGATGGCACAGGGCAGGATATGGAGATGCTTGGCAGGCAGTGGTGTGGGAGGGAAGGCAAGGAACAGGGCTGTGTCAGAGTGAGCAGAGTGTGCCTCTGGCTGGAGCTTGGCTCTCTGTAAAGATGGTTTTGTGTAGAGAAGGATTTTTTCATGTGAAGTCCAGCAGTTGTTATAAACACCTAATGCAGTTTTTCCCTGTACGTGAAGTTTCTCCACTTCTCCCCACAAAGAGGTTAATATGACGAT